TCGATTAACATGAGAATAGATTTTTCACATTTGAAAACACTCGAACTTGCTCTAACCCACAAGATGTTGGACATGCAGAATGTGTTGACAAAAGGAAAATCTGTAAATGAAGTACGCCTTAAACACACACGAAAACATTAGCTGAAGAATCCTCAATCTCAAACATCAAGCCAGGACCACACAATGCATCGAATTCTTATTTTTTCTGTATAGGAAGCCTAGACAGAGGACATGATTTATTGGTTCCTTCATTGGCTAAGTACATGATTAAGTATGTCTGAGTAAACCACAACCGAATAAGCAGCTTGCAACATTCCCAGAAAGTTTTCTGTACGCAATCAACAACAAGCACAAATAAACACCCCTCATGTAATCTTATAGAAGTGAAATAAATGTGCATTATTTCAGGCTTACTAGATTAGAAAAATAAACACATACAAATACAGTGTCTTGCCAAGAAACAAACTCAGCTGGGACAGAAGTGTTGATGAAGAGACACTTTTGTAAAAACCATGTAAAGGAAATACAATGAAGGGATCTTTACATGTAAACTTATAAAAAGCAGACAAAAAGTACTAGCTATCTATGAGATTTATACAATTAATTATACAAATATGGATATTTATCCATTGAACTTTAAAATGACCAAACATGAAAGATTGCTGTTAATTTTATGTTTTCTGAAAGCTAAATATGTAATTGCGTGTTCTTGTAGGGCTGCACTGATAATCAAAATAAGATCATGATCTCGATTCGACCCCCACACGATCTTAATCCAGCATCTCTAGGTTTCAGCCAAGTATATTTTCAAGTTCAGGAGAATCTTAACCTTCTATGGCCTGAGTGTCCACATATGTGGACCACATTTTAGCTCTTTAGTGGCTATTTAAAATACTTTGAATGTTTTATATGTTGTTACAGACATACAGTGTCTGCCTGCAACAGTTTTGCTGCATATGAAATATCCCAAACCCTATTTCTAACTGTTCAAAATGGGATTTTTTTTTTGTTGTTTTTACTATTTGATAGTTAAAGAAATTCCATGTTAAATATGCACAAAAAATTTGAAAAAAGAGTTTTATGCAAATTCTGACCATGAGTCCACATATTTGGACATAATTTTTCTCTAAAAGTACATCATATTAAAAGATGATCCTTAGATTTTTATTCTAACGAGGTTCCAACAAGTCCTAATAGCAAAGAGAAATAAAAAATGCACATACAAATACAGTGTCTTGCCAAGAAACAAAGTCAGCTGGGACAGAAGGGTTGATTAAGAGACACTTTAAAAAAAAAAACATGTAAAGGAAATGCAATAAGGGGACTTTACATGTAAACTTATAAAAAGCAAACAAAAGTACTAGCTATCTGTATGATTTTTATAATTAGTTATACAAATAACTGCACATTTGTCCATTGAACTTTAAAATGACCAAACATGAAATACTGCTGTTAATTGTATGTTTTCTGAAAGCTAAAAATGTAATTGCGTGTCGTAGGAATGCACAATTAATCGAAAAAATAAAATAAGATCATATTCTCGATTCGACCCTACACACAATCTTATTCAGCATCTCTACGATTGAGCCGGTTATATTTTCAAGTTTAGGAGAAGCTTAAAGGGTCGTGCAAGTTTTCACATTGTTTTACATATGCTGTTCAGCAATATGAACCAAAGGATTTTGAAAGAGTCACATACTGTATTTATAAGGTATAGTTTACCTAAAATGTAACTTCTGTAAGGACGTATTTGTGGCTGCAAAATGACTTTAGTGAACAGAACCTGCATAGGCTGTAAATAACAGGCAATAAAGTTGTAAATAACGATCAGATTTTTGCACAGAATGGTCGTTTGGGAGCCATGCGGGAAGTATGGTTTGCATGGATGTTGTTGTTTTTCTCAAAGTGACGAATTCTCAATTTTACAGTTATAGTTACGACAAGCATTTGATGTTTTTACTTTCATAGCGAACACAAAGTGTTGTGACTACAGATAAATGTTTAACAGTGTCAGTATAACTACTCTAGCCTATATAATGTTGAATATAATGCAAGAGGAAATCTGGTAATGACAGACGTCTCATTTTACCAGTGAAAATACATCTAATAATGTTGTCAAAGACAGATTGCAAGCATTTCTTGAACACAATAATTCAACTTCAGTTTTTTTTTTTTTACTTTTTATTATGAATAGCTGTATTCTGACGTCGTCACTTTACTGTGATTTAACAAACAGGACAAATTTAAAGTCTGTGCAAGTCCTCCATTCAAAGTCTCTACAAATTTAGCATTTTAACCAACAGTAGATCTACACATAGGCATAATATTATTGTTGTTTTACCAAATGTTTTAGAATTAACAATAATATTGGGCTACTCATATTAACTTTTAGTTTACATCTATACAAAATCGTGAAAAAATTGTGATCTTGATTTCAATTAGAAAAATTGTGATTCTCATTTTTGCCAGAATCATGCAGCCCTTAATAGTCCTAGTGTGTGTCTCAGTAGATAAAGAGGATGACCTCCTGTCTTGCCTATTTTTTGAAAAATAACTTCATATATTTTGGTCTATTTGGAAAGTATTCTGTGACTTTTCTCATGACAATTTCGTTAAATCGATGGACATTGAAAGTATATAGATTAGACAAATATCTTATTGCATATATCATATTTTATTATTTATTTATTTATCTTTCAAATGTATCAAGTTATTTTGAGTTTATATATTATTATTTTTGTATTTTTTCCTAAACTGAAGATTTAAACCTGACAATTTGACAATGTTTAAAATAAAAATTGTTCTCAAAAAAATTATATGAATAATTAGCTACAAAAATCTGCGTACAAACCCACTCAGGAACTATTTATTATCCACTAACATTTTATTATAACTCTTTTGTTTTCAAGTGCAAACGTCTAAAGATTTTTCAATCAAGGTACATTTACTTGCAAGCAAAATGAAACGAGATGAGAACGTTTCATAGTTTTATTTGTAAAAATGTGAAAACAACATTGACCAATGGCCTCAGAATAACAAATGTTTTTCATTTTCCAAAGACTGCTTTTTTTTATTTTCTGAAGTTGTCTAAACTGAATATAATATGCATGTTTGTGTATTTTATGCCAGAGATGCTTTAAACAACACCATGATTCCAGAATCAGCAACTTCAGATTCACATGGACTTAAAGGTCCAATCCCAATTCTTCCCCTTAGCCCTTCCCTTTACCCCCACCCCTTGTTTTGCACATTCATGTGAAGGGGTACAGCAGGGTTCTTGCTCCATTTTAAAAGTAAAATTTAATGCTTTTTAAGACCTTTTTAACACCTCAACAAATATAATTTAAGACCCAAAAATGTTATAATTTCTTTGGAATAGGCTACTCATTTTAATGTTCTCGTTAGATTTAAATAAATTGTGCCTCGTCACAGTATGGATAACCCACACTACTTGCCTTTTGGGTGTCTGGTGGTGAAATGAAACTGTTATAACTGACTGTGAGGGGGCATCTAAACTAGAGCTGTAATCAGGATATAAAAGTTAGGCCCGATAGAGCCCGAACCCGACAAGTACATTTTGATTGACAGCTTTTTAAAAGCCCGACATTATCCAAATGTGCACAGGCACACAGCTCTTTTGTCTTTTTTCATGAATGAGTTGTTTATAAGGGTTAACATTACTTATTCATAACAGGCTATAGGCCTAAAATTAGTAACTAGTAACATTGTTAGGTCGAGCTGCAAACAATACAGGGATTGACCTGGACCTGCTATGACAAGCTGCTGCAACGTCCCGCTGCTGCTTTCCACCTTTCATGTGCGACTTGACGACTTTGAGCCCCATGGTCCCTAACGAAAAGGTCTTTTTGCTGAATTTACACATTGCCTCTTTGCCACGTCATTAAATGTACAATTTCCCATCTTTGCATTTTGACACATCAACAACCGCATAATAACAGCACGCAGGTGCAGACCGACGTAAGCATCTGTACTCTGTAGCTCACCTACCATAATAAGCTAAAAATTCACGAAGACTGTCATTTCTCTCCTGTTTTACAAGTGCTAAATTAATCAACTATTAGATGTTTTACGGTGGACCACTGTGCTTCACTATAATCATTAAGCACACCGGCTGAAAATTTAATACCTACAGCCACTTTACGGTAAAATTTAAGACAATTTAAGACCTTAATTTCCCGGATTTTAATTTAAGACATTAAGACTTTTTAAGGACCCGCGGGAACCCTGTACAGGCGTTGCAATTCTCTTCATATTGAAGGCGTAGGGCTAAGGGTAAGATAGCCCTTGAAACTGATATTTTTCAGGACCACACTTCAGGATTTCCTGAAGATAAATACCAATAAATAATGCAATTGGAATAACTACAGCCATCGCCATTTCTTAAGGGTAAATTTTGAAGCCTTTCCCTTTTACACTCAAGGGCCAAAGGGAAGGAGTACAAAAATAGAATTGGGATTGGGCCTGAGGATGTTTCGATATTTTAACTGGAAAACACTAAGGAGGATATTTATTTTCCAGATTGACAGAGAACATCGATTATCATGACTTTGATTTTAATTCTATCTGCTTTAAGTATTTCAACATCCAACAAAGTAATATTGAAAACGTGAATTAACAGATCATCATGAATCACCAAAGAAATATGATCGCATATGAAGATGAATGTTAAAAGGGAGTGATGGTTGTGGGAAACATCGAAATAATCTAACAACGCTAGGCTGATTTGAAAGGTTTCCCACACTAGTAAACAGCAGGAGTCAGACTTAGATGAAACGCAGAGTACGAGATTCAGAAGACATCAAATAAACGCACCATAGGTTTATAGACCATAGGATTTGAGACACAGTTTCTGGGAAATTCATATAAGGTTTCAACAACATTTTTTTATTTTTTGGCCTGATGCCACTTTCATTGAATATTTGGCAATGAGTGTCCAGGGTTTGGGACGGATCCCGCTGTGTGCATGTGTGTGCACTTACATAGTACGGGTCTTGGATAATAAGCTGTTTTTCAGGATCGTAGGAGCCGAGCAGCTCAATCTTGGCTTTGCTGTTTTTCACGCTGCTTGCCTTCTTGTTCAGATCTCTGTCAAAAAAAAAAGACACACACTTCAGACCCTGTGCAGCCAGTGGACGGTTGCACAATCATATCAATGATGCGATTCCTCAGTTCTTTCAGACTAATTCGGAAATATGATTCAAATAAGAATGAAACTTGACAGTATTTGCCTGCTCTTTGATTTTTATTTTTTTTTGCAACTCTTTCCCAGGACAAAAACATTGCAACACACACACACACACACACACACACACACACACACACACACACACACACACACACACACACACACACACACACACACACACACACACACACACAAACACACACAAACACACACACAAACACACACACAAACAAACCCACACACACACACACACACACAAAATAAATGAATAAATAATTAATAAAAACACACATACAAATTCCTGGGTAATGAAAGCTAGTGAGGTTGATTATGTATGACAAGAATATTAAAAACAAGCGACTTCTAGGGGTGCGCAATATTACATATTATCAAAGCAGGCGGTTGGTGGCTTGAAGTGGGGTTGTTTGTAACTAAAAAAAAAAGTAGCGAAAAAAATAATAATAATATATAATAATATAATAATAATGTAATAAATAAAAGGGTGGCATGGTGGCTCAGTGGTTAGCACTGTTGCCTCACAGCAAGAAGGTGGCTGGTTCGAGTCCTGGCTGGGTCTGTTGGCATTTCTGTGTGTAGTTTGCACGTTCTCCCTGTATTCATGTGGGTTACCTCCAGGTGCTCCGGTTTCTCCCACAGGCCAAAGACATGTACTATAATGGCCCGTTTCCACTAAGAAGTACAGTACGGTATGGGTCGGTACAGGTCACTTTTAGCAGGTTCCACTGTAAGGGTACCCTTCTGGTGGGCGTGGTGTACGACAAAGTTTCAGACGATATCATTTTTATTTAATGAAATGTCAAAGTAAAGCTGTACGGGTCGTTCATATAATATATGTGAAGCACTTCTCACAAACCAGATGCTTCATACACATAAATACGTGTGTATAATTTTTTATTACTCACCTTTCTATGAGCATGATTTGATTATAACTGCAGATCAATTATCTGAAATAGCCTACTGTAACATCTGCAATTATATAAAATAAATAAACAAATGCAACAATTATGAAGACATACAGAACCTTACAGTCTCCGATATGTTACCAATTACAGAAAAACTACACACAACACGTATTTAATCCTTATAAGACTAATGAGAGTGTAAACCTCTCATACAGTACGTGTCTTTAATCTTCAGCAGCACGTGTAACCTCCTGTTAGAAATTAATTTCGTCATTCTTAGTTCATAAATGTCAGAAGGCGATAATAATAGTCAAACAGGGCAGTGTGTTTGTGTTTTAGGTTGCAGAAGCATCGTTTGCTGCTGTTTTTTTCTGGCTTCTCCTTTGTTTTGTTTTTTGTGCTTCACTCTCATGTTTGTCCCATTCTGAAAGAATCAGATTTGAGAAACACTTCAATGCTCATGTGCACCTTATTAATATAAGCTCAAGAAGCTTTTTTTAGTGTTTTGTCAAATATAAAACTGGTTATGGAATTGAATATTTAACAATATATTTTTCTTATGGAATTTATTGTTGTTGTTGTTTTCAGTAACAGTACTCTGTATTGGATGATACTATGAGTCCAGGAATATAAATCGATATCGGGAAGTGACAAAGGATATCAGAACATCTGGTAACACTTTATAATAACTACACACTAATAATCATTTATTAAGCATTAGCAAATAGTGAATTCAATATCTGTTAAGTATTAACTCTACATTAATAGACGCTAGTAAGTAGTTTATAACTGCAGCTACAAATTCTTTATTTTCGAATTATAAGCACATTTATAATGTAATAATATTTGTTCTTTCATAATTTGTGACTGGTTGATTATTCATTACTAAATTCAGAAATGCATTATTGACAAAGCATTTGTATTTAAGAGTAGTTGGTGGCTTTTAGAATTATTCAGAATGAGTTAGTAAATGATTAATAAACTATTGAAATCAACGTTTATACATCTTATTAATCAGGCATATAGTAATGGTTACTATGCAAGTTAATAAATGGTTTAGTAACTCAACTTCATTCAGTTTTGTGACCTAAGTTGAGGACTATTTATGCTTTATAGATCCCTTATAAATGACAATTAAAGGCTCAGTATCAAATGAACAATAATTTTGGAACTCCTATCTAACAATTAAAATTACTGTTAAGTTTAAGCATGGGTGAATAACAGGAGTGTCAAAACACAAAATAAAATTAGGTAAAACAACAGCAATATAATAGTTTAACAATATATTAAGATACAACATATCAATGTTGTTTAGCGATGTTTAAACTGTACAGTAATTTTATTTTAGATAAGGTAGCAAAGATTTTTCATTTGATACAATTGCATTTGTGTTTCTTCAAATGAAGAGAAATAAATAAAGTCGTTTATTTTCTCCTTTTTCCTGTTTAGTATTTAACTGAACCTTTAATTGTCATTTATAAGGGTATTATAAAGCATAAATAGTTCTCACTTTAGATTAGTTCTCAAAACTGAAAGTTAATAAAGCATTTATTGCCATACATACAAGAACTACGAGTATATGCCTGAATAATAATTTGTATAAACGTTATTCTGAATAGTTTATTAATCATTTGCTTATCCAATAGGGTATATGGCGAGCTAGTGTTCTTGCCATACTGATAAACTTCCGGTGACCTGTTATTTTGAACTTTTATCCATTTTATACAGTTCCTTTTACAGCATCAATGTTGTAATGTCATTAAAATACATTCAGTTAAATAAACTTCGGCAATCATTTAGTTGCTCAAGCGTAAAACGGGACAAAAAGCCGTTTACTCGCACGCGCCCGTCAGAATTGGCAGGCTAGCGCAGAAGCTTCATTGAATATACTGGGGTAAAATAAATGCTCATATTATAAAGACATGGCGGATGAAAATGTAATTTAATGCAGTGCTTTTTGTAAAACCAGAGACCTACTTTATATCGGATATCACTCAGCTAGTTGAGATCGCTGATTTTTAAAGAAAACAGACCTTAAACACGCTGGTTTTTGCATTGAATACAGTTCGCCGGAAGCGCTTAACCCAGGTTACTGGCAAATTAAAAGTCCTATTAGCAGGCTTCGGCATATACCCTATCTGAATGATCTTAAAAACCACCAGTTATGCTTAAATAACAGTTTGTAAATAGTACAATACTTAGTCATGAAAAATGAATCATTATCAAATGATGAACACACAATTATTAAGCACATTATACATGTGCTTGTAAGTCAAGAATAGAGCATTTGTATCTGCAGTTATAAACGGCTTACTAACGTTTATTAATGTAGAGTTAATGCTTAACAGATATTGAATTCACTATTTGCTGATGCTTAATAAATGATTCATAGTGTGTAGCTATACAGTTTTACAGAACATCTCCATTTTGGACTTGATTTGAATAATGGGAGAAAGGTTAATGTGAAGGTTAATGTGAATAATGGGAGATGGAAATGCAATTGTAAAATAAACTCTGACAAAGCATGTGACTAATGTGGCTTGTTTACTGCTGGTCACTAGGTTACCAATACTACACACAGCCACTCAAACAACTTGATGTAAATTCACCAAATTTGCATTCGGTTGAAAAGATCTTTCTTGGAATAGAAACCTAGTTCACGACGATAATAATACATCAGCATAACTCATTCTAAAGGAGCATGTGGTACTGAAGCAGGAGTAAATGTTTCTGATTTGCAATTGCCAGAATTAGTTATATTTTTAGCCTTTAAACTTTAGGAAGTACCTCACTGAATGCTAATCATATTTTGAGGTCAGTGGCATCTAAAAGTTTGCAAACCTCTGGTCTGTACGAAGCCCTGTTTAATGAGCATCTTGGCGTCTCATTAACTCTCAAGTTTAGGGATCATCTTTTCCAGGTTCAAACCATTGACCTTTAGGATTACCAGCTCAGACCAAATACCATCGTTAATATAGAAAGCAAATACATCAGTCTATGACAGTACACATTTATCTTTAACATCAATTAACCCATGACAGACGTATTGCTAAGCATTATTATGAGTTATATTGAATCAGTATGTCCCACTGAGCTAAACAAGAGAAAAGCCAAATCAGAGCAAAGACGAAGAATCTAAAGAACTCTGTAATCTTCTTAATAAGCACTGGATCTAGCAGAAACATGTGATTCTGACAATATTCCAGAAAAAAAAAATCTCCTTCCTGCATCGTTGACTTCACTTTCAAATGATGGGGCCACAGACTAGTAGATGCAGACTTCAGTGTTGACAGATCCATAATATAATTTATTCACTCAGTTTTGGAATCATCAATCATCATTGTCCTGTCAGAGAGACATTCGGAGGGGTAAGGTAGGAGCCCGAGGCTATTTAAACTGTCAACAAAAAAAAGCCAAGGGCCTCACTACCGCTCGTCACTTTTGTGCAAGTAAACTCAATGAGAAGTGAACTTGGTCCCACTTTTCGCAACATTTTTCCTGCACGTGCATGTTATTATCAATCAGTAATATCTGACATTCTGAATAGGATAAGAATGTGAATTCATATTCATTCACGTCTCCTCCAGTTTATTCATGCTCGCAGAGATTCACTGTACAGCATCCATACAGGCTTTTAAGTCCAAAAGTGTGTATATTTGCAGAAATATTGATATATTTGCTAGGGATAAGTAGTGCATTTTCATTCTAAAACTATTAATATTGTGTTTCAGAGAAATCTCCATGCACACCATACATCCTAAAATGCATGATAAGTGACCAACCATGGCCATTAGGGATGCGCATATTTTGCCTGCATCCATGCTTGCAGTATTCCAGTTGTGTAACGGTAATATGAGAGGGTACTGACAAATCAGGGAACGATATGCAATACACCAATCAGAGATCGGTTGTGAACAGCCGTGCCTCTGCTTTTGTTTCAATCCATCTATATCACCCTGCAGCCAAAGACCTGCCACTCATTGAAGCTAAGCAGGGATAAGCCTGGTCAAGAACCTGGGGTGCGTTTCCCAAAACCATCGCTAGCCAACTAAAGTCACAATTTCCTTCGTTACAAACATAGTTTGTCGATTTGCTGTTTCCCAAACCCATCGTTCCAACGAACATTCGCAAACTGCAGCGCAAACTTCAGCATTCGCAACTATACCTCTGGAGTAGTTTGAAACATAGTTTATGGCTGTGTTCTATTCCCCCTTATCCCCTCTATGCCCTATTCATTTAGAACACTCTAACATTCAAAGTTGGAATTATGAAAAGTAAAAAAGCATCAAGGTCGTCTCTTTTAGGTGTGATTTGCTTTCTAACTATTTTTACAGTTTAGTTTTAGCAATCTTCATGTTTACAATTGTGCTCCCTTTGCAGTGCACTTTGAAAACATTGCTAAATATATAAATAAATAAATGCAACATATATGAACACATACAGCCCCTTACAGTCTCCGATATGTTACCAATTAAAGAAAAACAAAACACAGCATACATTTAGTCCTTATTTGAGTTCAAAAACAACATGAAACATATAGCCCACAGTCAGTGTAAACCTCTCATACAGTCTATGTCTTTATTCTAACTTAATCATTTTGAACACAGCCTGATGGCGAAAGCTATAGGTGACCTAATATATAAAAGTGGAATTTATGTTACGTCTACAAAGCTTGTGAAAACAAAAAGCATACGTTAATTCTTTTAATTTATAGTGGGTTATTTATTAAGTATCTGTACTGTATATGACATGGGCCTGTTGGTTACAACCTTCTGCTGCGGTTTGCATGTCAAATTGTAAAAATAGAATTTTAAAAAATAAATAAATATACAATATCCTACTTAATCATAATAATAATAATAATAATCATCATCATCATCATAATCATCATCATCATCATAATTATTTATATTATTATTAAAGTATGTTTTTTTTATTTCTAATACATAATAATTATTAAATTTAATTTCTTGATAAATCGCCTCATTATTTATTTATTTATATGATTTATATTATGTTAGAATAGTGTTAGCTTTTGTAAGTGATTTTATGTTTTAGAATATGATATGTCATTCTCAATAATATTTGTAAAGCAAACATAGGCCACGGATGGAAGACCACATGGGAAAACTAGTTTGCTGTTGGAAGTGGTGTTAGTGAGGCCAGCAGGAGGCAATCAACCTGCGGTCTATGTCCTAATGTCTCAGTATAGTGAAGGGGACACTATACTGTCAGAGGGTGCCATTTTCGATTAAGACATTAAACCAAGGTCATTTAAAGTCCCATGGCACTTCTCAAAGTGTATCGCAACTCCTACACCATCTGACCTTAGAAAAGATATGATGTACTGGAAGAGATTGTACTGATTTGTTTTTTCACACTTGGCAACTTGTTTTAGATCACAAAGAAGAAAGACCCTTTATTTATTTTAGAAGTGTAGAACCTGTTATTTTTTATTATAAAATATTCTTACATAATATTATTATTTATTTGTATTTTATTTTAATATTATTAATATATTTTTATAGAGCCTAAATGTATGTGTGCGATGAGTTTTGTTTGCTGTTTAAAAAAAAAGAAGAGAAAAAAGCTATTTGTACTGCATTTTTCATATCTAACATGTTCAATAAAAATACACCTTTTAAATAAAAAAAAATATATCATATTTATAATTATACCATTTACCCATAAAGTTACCCAAAAGGTACTGTATCTACTGAATTAATCAAAATCCCAATATATGGCTATTACTCCTCCAAAATCCTAATTTAACCTTTGCACATACCTTAAATTGCTTTCGTCCATGCAGAGGATGTAATCAAAACTCATGAAGTCATCCTTGGTGACCTAAGAAAGTGAAAAGACAGCATAAGTATCGTGTGCAATGCTTCATGCACATTGTCCAGCAGTGACCCTTTAAGACCCTTTCAGCCACCATCAACCCCCCTTCTCTCTAATTCTTCCTGTCTTTTTTTTAAATCTGCAGCCCAAAGAGCACGTCGTAAGCTTGAACAAACTCCAGAGAACATAAGGAAAAGTCTGTAGAGCGAGCAAACGTGCTGTCTATGTCTGCTCAAACATTCGTTTCCCTCGCTCAAAACGTGAAGGAACAGATCAAAGCACATCTGTGGCTGTACATATGTGTGCGCATTTATTGAGCAAGAAAGCATGATTCATCTGGTACGCCACTGCCCAGGGTCGGTCATAATAGGATGTTTCCAATTTATAAAAACAACAGAAGAACAAAAACCTGAAAAGTGTTTAAACGTAACATGCATGAGGGGTGAAAAAACTAGAGGAACGCCTGTTTGGCTATACCATTTTGCCTGTAGAATTGTTGATTTGTGTGAGGTCAACTGGACAAAGATGTCTTTGGTGTAAGCTCAGCTCTGTAAAACCTGACCTCAAAAGGCCAAACTAAAGCTCGCCCACATGACTGAAATATCTGACTGACGTCTGAAATATGGGGGAGGAAAGCACGCAAGTTAGGAGTTTTCTCTTCGTTTGACATGTAATAGGTCAAACCGTGGATATTTCAGACAAGGTGATGCAGTGGCCTTGCTTTAACATTGTGTGCTCCATATTTTGAGCGGTTTTGTGTTCTGCTAATTTTTTTTTTTTTTAATCAAAGAGATGCAAAAAAAATATCCAGCATCTAAGCACAGGATATAAACTAGCAAGCACGCTTGTTTTGATCACCCAAAAAGAGCCTATAATCAAGCATGATGGTTTCTTGTCCAGTGTTAATTTCGCTGACGAAAAACTTTCATTATAATTTTCATGATGAACAAGTTTCTACTGACGAAAAGTAAATAAAAATGAGGGGATGATGACGACAACTATAATAAAAAATATACTGACATTTTCGAGAATGTGATTGAGGGATGTTTTGGAAAATATCCAATCAGAATTAATCTTGGTGTGTGATGCATGACACGCGCAGTCGCACACACATTTGAAAAGTAACTGATCCACAGTAGACGCGGGATGCGGTTTCATCATCATCATTTACGTTTACATATGGTGAAAATCCCCACCATTATTAATGAAAAGTAGCTATGTTCGTAGGGCTGCTGTTACATCATGCACTACGACTGACAAACATGAAGAGTTTGTCATGAAAAATTAGCTGTTTTCTAGACCAATATAGCTGGGAAATATACTCTCATACTGGCATAACAAGGAACTGTGCAGTCATACTATCACTGCAGCCACATCAATTATATTATGCAGTGGTTTTCCTGTCCATATACAGTAGATCTAGAAAATAGCAACTTTTAGTTTTCTATCAGTCTTAGTACACCATGTAAGTATAGAAAAGTCAAGCTTTAAATAAGAGAATGATCAAAACTCTTATTGGAAATGTTTCATCAAGATGCTAATGGTCTAATCTGATTCAATGATCTATGCCAAGCTAAAAATGCTTCCGCCTAACATCGAGATGGACAGAATTAATTAAAAAACTTTTGTATCCGCCATCTCAGTTAGTTTTTCTGGGGATTTCTGATCACTACACGAGGCGCCAGGCCTACTCGCAATAGTCTTTCCGGTGTAGGTAGGTATATTGTCGCAGACTTTTCGCCATTTATGCATTACCATGACCAAAACAGAAAGAAAAGTTGTGTAAACAAAGTATTAATAATGTTTTACCATGCATTTCAAACACAAGATGCTCAAAGTACAGTTTGAGTACAGGTTAATCAAATTTAGCGGCGCTCACCCAAAACATAACCTATTCCATACCTGCTCACTAGCGGCCCAATTAAAAACTTTTAAAGATGAATTATTTGACTCAAGGTGGCTTCAAAAACGTGGAGTGTTCATTTAACAACCCATAGAACAGCTACAGAACTAAGCTGGGTTTATAGGTTCTTATATGGTAGCACATTATATGGTAGCGCACAACCACCAAAAGCCAATATGTGTGTATATGTGGTGAAAATCCCCACCATTATTAATAAAAATAAGCTATGTTTGTAGGGCAGAAGTTACATCGTGCACTACGACAGACAAAAAAAATGAAGAGTTGCTATTTTACAGACCAATATAGCTGTTAAATATACTCTCATACTGGCATAATAATTAAGGAATGTTGCCGTCTTACTATGACTGCAGCAGCCACAATGATATCACGCAAAGCTTTTTTTCTGGCAATATAAATATAGAAAATAGCAACTTTTAATTTTCTGTCAGTCTTACTACAGTCCAGCTTTAAATAGGAAAATAATCAATACTTTTCTTGGAATTTTCTCATCAAGATGCGAATGGTCTAATCCGATTCAATGATCTATGCTAAGCTAAAAGTGATCCCGCCAGACCTTGAGATTGGCTGAATGGATTTAAAGCTGGTAAAACTGACCTTTTCTCTATAGGGAGCTTCAAAAAAGGTAAAGTGTTCCTTTAACCATCCCAAAGAATTGCTAATGAATGAAACAAAAGAGGTTGAAACTAATTTTAACTAAAAGTGCTTCCGCCCAATCTGGAGATCAGCTGAAAGGATTCAAAACTGGTAAACAGTTTAACCAAAGGTGGCTTTAAAAATGTGGACTGTTCCTTTAACAACTCCAAAAAATGCCTATAGAACTAAATTGGGTGTTTACAGGTTCTTATATGGTAGCAAAACCACTGAAAGACCAATTTGTGTACAGCTGAAGTCAGAATTATTTACATAAAACATAACATAAAACATTAAAAGCTGTTTTTATTCTAGCCGAAATAACAAATAAGACTTTCCCCAGAAGTAAAAAAAAAAATATCAGACATACTGTGAAAATGTCCTTGCTCTGTTAAACATAATTTAGCAAATATTTAAAAAATAATAATAATAAAATAAAAAGATATTAAAGGGGAGATTAATAATTCTGACTTCAACTGAATATATGTGATGAAAATCCCAACTCATTATTAATAAAAAGAAGCTATGTTTGTAGGGCAGTTATGTTTCCCACCCAGCAACAGCCTTGCTTCTTGGGAAAAGGTTATAGTTCCCATTAAGTGATCTATTTGTGATTTATGGATATGCTACGAAGGACACGTCGATAGTACGTTATGAAGCAACTGTGTTTTATCAAAATACAGACCAAACACTATTTGGAAGCCAATTCAAAACAACAAACTCTATGGAGAATTTCTTCAGGAAACATAGATGATAGATGAAAAACGGCAGAAAACACAGAGGGAGATTGAGAAGAGGGGTCAATAGAAGACAGGCAGAGGACGACTGTCCAAATCAATTTATTGGAAAAAGCTTAAAAATAAGGGGAAAAGATAAAACCTCTATGGTGTGTGACAAAGATGAAGTACGTTTGGCTGTAATTTGTGGTCCGATAATATTAATGAATGCTTTCTCGCCAAAACTGACTTAATATATAGGAAATGGTGTATGGGCAAGGTTTCATGAGTGACACTGACTGAAGTTATTGAAATGATGATAAATGTGTCGTCCATGGTGCTATGCACATCGATACTGTGCTGAAAGCTTCATGCGCTCATTCCTTTCCCACCATCTGCTTTATTTTTAATCAAGTATTATTTGCTTCAAGTTTTTTAGTTTTCCAGTGTGTTGGGCAGCAAAACTGTTATTAGTCTAACCATGCTCAGATCTATATCAAGATCTATATCTTGTTATAGATTATAAATCCCTAATGAACCAACCACATAAGAGTGATTCAATGCATTTATATTTGTTGATTTGGTCAAGATGATCTGCCGAAATTCAAAATGAGCATGAGCATGGGGAAGAACTGAAATGACTTTAAGCATGACATGACTGTTGGCTGGTCTGAGTATTTCAGAAACCACTGATCTACTGGGATTTTCGTCAACAGGCATCTCAAGGGTTTACAGTCAGAGAATGGTAAGAAAATATCAAGCGAGTGCAATTCTGTAGGTAAAAATGCTCATCTTTCTCCAACTAGGAGTATGTTAACTTACATTTTCCCATTTTGCCGTCTGTTTCGCTCTATAGTTTCGCTACATGTAGAGAGCGTCACATCACCTTCCCGCGTTTGTCCCAATTTACGTGACATCACTCGGACGAAGGAACTTGGCCAGACACACCCCGGCCCTAATCAAATGCATGGATTGAGCACGGCCATGTTAATATAAGGAGGAAAATAAACACAGCAGAATTATGCTTTATTGGGGCCCTATCATACACCCTGCGCAATGTGGCGCAAGGCGCGGCGCAAAAATTGTTTGGTAGTTTCAGCTTGGCACAAGAGTCGTTTTGAGGCGTTGCGCTACGCTGTTAAAATAGCAAATGCATTAGCGCTCATTTGTGCGCCCATAGGCGTTCTGGTCTAAAAAGGAAGGCATTCTGAGGCGCATTGAAGGCGCGTTGCTATTTTGAGAAACTATAATAGATTATAATAGATAATACAGATAATATAATACAGTAAAACTATAATAGATAATAATTTTCATTAGACCAAAACAAACCCGGTCTAAACTCCGGCGCAGAGTTGCACCTCGCTTACACACTGCTTAATACACACAAGAGAGCAATAGGCAAATATCTTTACATATGAAAAAATTGTAATATTAAGAATATTTATAGGATATAATAAGAATAGATATAGGATATAAATATAAAGGATTAAAATATTACAAAACATTATTTTCTAGCCTACATAAATATGAAAAATCACTGCTTTTATGTCTTCTTCATCTCGGGAGGCTTTTTCAGTTCATTTATAACAATTTGCTTGTTATATTTTCTTATTATTAGCAGTATTATTTATTATATCCATATTTATATTTGTTTTTATAAAAAACAAGCTTAGATTTGCCCACCTGTCAGGTTTTAGACCATATGGGGCACAGCATGTGTTTTAGGATATAACTCAGGTTTTTGAACACACTTTGTTATTATTGTTCATTTATTCGTTTGCTGGAAATAAGAACTGAATTTAGAAATAGTTTTGCAACGAATATTTGCGCTTAACAAACAAAAGTATTTATTTATAGACTAATTTATGTCTGTGCGTAAAGGTTTCCCTATCCAAGAGCGAAAGTAGATCATTTATCTCTCATTCTCACGCAGTAGATGCTCTGTTTAACAGTTTTCTGTTTAAAAAACTGTCAACTGTTAACTGTTTGCTTGTGAAATGCTAATTTTTTTCACTTAGACTTACTTTGCGTCCTGTAAATAGCGAATGCGCTCTTAGCATGACGCAGCTGACTCTTAAAGGGAATGGGAGATGAGACTCTAAATGCTTTATTCTCAAAACACACCTATAACTCATTTAGAAAATAAACTCAACCCTAAACTCAATTTGCCTATTGCTTTCTTGTGCGTATTAAGCAGTGTATAAGCGAGGCGCAACTCTGCGCCGGAGTTTAGACCAGGTTTGTTTTAGTCTAATGAAAAATCTATTTTAGTTTCTCAAAATAGCAACGCGCCATCAATGCGCCTCAGAACGCCGACCTTTTTAGACCAGAACGCCTATGGGCGCACAAATGAGCGCTAATGCATTTGCTATTTAAACAGCGTAGCGCAACGCCTCAAACGACTCTTGTGCCAAGCTGAAACTACCAAAAGATTATTGCGCCGCGTCTTGCGCCACATTGCGCCGGGTGTATGTTAGGGCCCTAAGTCGTTGTTTTTTTTTTTTTAATAGCGGGTTATAATCACACCTAAATGTATTAAAAGGTAAGTTAATTATACCTTTACTTTGTAGCAAACACGATGCAGCTTTCAATCAGGATGAACAGTTTCCATAAGTATTGTTTATAGATAAAGGTCTATGACTCTGCATACAATGACTTTGTCTTGCTGGAGTTCATAGCAGTTTCACTTTACTTCAGGGCACATTAATGCCGCTCTGTAACTTAGGTCTATAGGAGACATTCATAAATATGCCTCGCAACTTCAGCATAGTTTATTTGAGAGCAAACAGAAAAATCTGCATTTGAGCAGCGTATATTTGAGCAAGAAGTTTTGTGCACAAACAGAGGAATCCGGCGAGCATGCAAAGAGATTCACATGCTCGTATTACACATAAATGCTATCTCAACTTGTGATACTGCGTTCACGACATTTGTCATTGAAACAACGCCATAGGTAGTTGGTAGATCTGTGTAAAAGGCCTGTCGCCACAGCTGGAAAAAATTCTAGAGGAAACACTAAAACATAATTTGGAAAACAAATTATTAAGTCTCGGGAGATTCCACTGTTTGTTGATGGCTGTGTTTATGTTAATGGAAAAGAAATCAAGTGTTGAATTCCCTGACAATCACTGACTAAAAAGCACAATATCGATGATCTATAATGAAATAAAAAACTGTTGGTTGTGTTGAGCAGAGCTTCCAGAATTTTGTGATTCTGCGATCGTTAAATTTAATGCAAATCCAAGCAAATTGGAAAAAAAAAATGGAAGGAGCTAGCAATGTTTTGATTTCTGCCGACTTTGGCCCTTTCTTGCAGACTTTTGGCACTGCGCTTCTCCTGAGGTGTGTGACCCGCTTTCGACACTAAACCCTTTCTCTCTTTGTTTCCTTTTATATAAATTACAGAAAGGTTCAAAAGTAAGAAATTACTAAGATGTGTAAATTTGCTAACATTTTATACAGCAATATTTATAACATTAATACAGTAAAACACAAAAAAATCCTACAAATATTGAGGTCAATTTTCCAAAAGGTTGCAGTAAAAATAAATTTAGGCTGCAAAAATCTGAAAACGTTTGTGCAAAATCTAGAAGAGGCTGGTTGAGCATGGAGTAGACAAACAACAGACCATTATTTAAGAGGTACCGCCTGGTGGGTGCACTTGATAGTGGATTGCCATGTGGAATAGGGAAAAAAGGTAGTGAAAAATAGCCTAACCACAACAACAAGCAAAACATTTTAATAAATAGAAAGCAAATGTTTTTCAAAAGATATTTCAAGGCTACTTGGACAAAAAGATATATATAAATTTGTAGACTTTCAATGTTTTTTTTTTTCTAAAATGTCTTGTTCTTTTATTGTGATTGCAAAAAAATCAGTGGGTGGATTTTTACCATTAGAGGCTGGCTGCTTTCAAACATCTTATAAACATGATTTATAAGAAAGAACCGTTGGTTTATATGAAAGTTACTGAAATTAAATTGGTTCAACCTGGTACAAATGAGGTGTATCTAATAAAGTGGCCAGTAAATGTTTAGTGGTTATAAAATAGCATTCTTGCCCAAAAAAAACTAGCTGACCTCCAAGTTTCATAACACGCGTACAAACCAAATCCCACATCTGCAGTACCTGTCTTGCCCTGTGATCTGTCTCTATGCCATGTTTCCTGAGGCAGGCCAGACCACGGGCATCAGGAGTGCTGCCAGTATTCCAATCAGAGGTGGCACCAGAGTCTATAACCCACTGTAACACACACACACAGAAAACACGGCTCTAGTTGAGTGCTAATCAGGACCCCGCCGTACCTGCCGCGCCACGTGCCTCATGGAAACGCCATGCTTCTTCATGCAGGCCTGGCCACGGTGATCCGGGGGGTTTCCGATCTCATAGGTGGACGTGGCGGCACTGTCTATTCTCCACTGAAGACACACACACACATAAAGCATAACGATACAAACAAACATGCATAAACACACACAAAAAGAAGAGTATCATTTAAAGGCCTATATTACCAGGACTAAGATTTCCTATCCTATTCTGTGCATTAAATACATCCTGATTGTGCATTAAAGGTGCAGTATGTAAGTTTGACACCCAGTGGTTGAACTAGGTATTGCATTCCTGGTTTAAAAAAAAAAAAACACAAACACAGGTCGCCAGATTGAGACACCAACAGGAGCGTGCCTGACTATCGACCCTAAATACTGATTTAAGGTGGATTTAAATCATGCTCTAAATAAAAGCAATGGCATGTGATAGAAGAAATATTTTTCATAATAAAAGGAGTTTTTGTCCTAACCAATACCTAAAATGAATAAATATTTTAATATAATATATGTATGTATGTATGTATGTATGTATGCATGTGTATATATATATATATATATATATATATATGCATGTATGTATGTATGTATGTATGTATGTATGTACGTACGTGTATATATATATATATATATATATATATATATATATATATATATATATATATATATATGTGTGTGTGTGTGTGTGTGTGTGTGTGTGTGTGTGTGTGTGTGTGTGTGTGTGTATATAATTGAAAACTGCCATACTACTGAAAGCAGCAGCAGATAGTTCACCTCAGATCTTGAAAATAAAATAAACCATTTGAAATTGAACTTCAGAACCGTTCCTCGGTGCAAACCCAACACTTATCAGCGATTCCGCATCTATATTTAATAATGTTAAAGAGGTTTAATATGTATTAATTAGATTAGAAATCTTACCATTTTGCTGAAGTGTAGTAAGTGCGCTATTCTGTGCTTCTGAATGGTGTTTCGTATTCTGTTATATTTTATCTGGTGCAAACAGCCAAATTGCTTATCACTGTAAATCTCGTCACATAGTGTTAGTACACTGGGTTACAATGTAACTTGCTCACCTAATGTTTACATTTGTAATATTATATTATTAATAACCTCATGTGAAACTCTTAATCGGTGTCTAATTTTGGAGGCTGCTACTGTCCACCACAGGTCACATATCAGTCACAGACGCACAATTTGAGAACCTTCTTGACTGAATGGATGAAATACGCCCTTTTCCACCAAGGCAACCCGGGTTAAATGACCAAAACAACGACACACGTTCCAGCACGTAACGCACATTTTCAAAACACAATATCTGACTTAAGCATTGTTTTTCAGATAAACAAGAATGTTTACTTAGCATATTTCATAAATATCTGCAAATATATCATGGTATTTTTATGCTCAAAAATTTACATACAGCACCTTTAATATAGTAAAAAATGAACAATTATAAATTTTATAAAATATATTTGATTAACACAGTAAAAACTGAACATTTCTGAATGATTTAAAATGTATTTGATCTACAATACAGTAAAACTAAACAATTATGAACATATAAAATGGATTTTATCAAAATACAGTAAAAAAATAAACAATTATGAACATAAAATATTTTTGATGAAAAATACAGTAAAAATGAACAATTGTGAACATACAATGTGTTTTTTGATGAAGAATATAGTAAAACCTGAACATTTAGGTTGATGAAAATTACAGTAAAAACGGAACAACTATGAATTATATCAAAAGAATTTGATTACAAATACAGTAATAACAAATGTTTTCTTATCCAGCAAAATTTAACATTTAATTTACTCC